GGGAAAATTAATTTCTCTCCCGTCTGAGCACTTCTAGCCCGTTCTCTGCATTTTCAAAGCCAGTTAATTTACGGACCAGATTGTGCAGCTTTTTATCGTTGTAAAATTTCCAGCACCACCTGGTCTGTGCTTTAGTCTTTCGAAAACTAACCATAGCCAATCAATGAATGAGCTTGAGCAACCGCGATTGAAAAGCAACCAATCGGCTTCTGTTATCGCGGGAGCTCACTTTTGGCGGGAGCACCCCCTATTGTCAAACGTTGTTCAAATTTTCATTTAGGCAGGCGGAAGAAACAAGTTGTAGTTGTTGTGTAGAAATGGCGATCGCCAGTCACAACAGAAATGAAGCGATTTCTTTTCCAAAATTTTAACAGAACAAAAGCGTGGGTAATGAGGTGAGGCCTATATTGCATTTTTTAAACTTGATGCAAGAGATCAAATTATAAACCTCTGCGTTCGTAATGAGAGCTCAGTCTGTAGAGCATGGCAGTTTAGGACAAGATCTTGTTTTTGCAAGAGCAAAAAAAATGTGTGCCTGTAAATTCTATTGCATGCACATGTCACACTCTGCAGACTCGATGACAGCAAGGTAGATTGTGTTTCAGGCGCAGTGTTTCTAGATTTTCCATTTTGAAGTTTGGGTATTTGAGAGGATATCTTACATGAGTATCTTACAAAATTTATAAACACTTGAACTTGAGATATTTTCACAAAATCCAAGTTTTTTACTATGTTCTGGCCTACATCTTACTTCATCTTTATTCTAAGATATATGATTTTAATATTTGGTATTTGTTTTGAATTCTAAAAGTTATGAATAAGTATTTCCAAAGTAATTGGTAGCAGATATCAGTGAGAGGTTTAGTAAGTGGTCAGTATGGGGGACTGATAGAACTATTTTTTTATAACTTTCTAAGATTTAGATTGGGTTCTTATTATAAACAAAAAGTTTTGAAACATATATTTGTGAGCATCCTGTTTTTCTTTACCTTTTTGATGCCAGGCATGGTAAATTATTTCAATCTAAGATGCATATAAATTCAAAAAAGGTTATTTTATCCATAGACTCCTCCAATGCAACTTTCCAAATTGGTTTCCATAAACAATTTGAAAAACATTTTTTGTTGGTGTAATCCACAAAATATTCAATTTTTTATGAAACTTCTATTAATCTCAATTAAATAGCCAAGAGCTCAGCCTTACTGACCTACTGATTGCCCAGAATATTGTCATCTTCCCAAAATTACTAACCAGATATTAGTACATAAACTGACAAAAACATTAATGATATTTATTTCATCTATTGGAAGTAGCTGTATTTTAAAAAAGTTTATAAAGCAGTCAGAATGATGGAAGAAGGAATAAAATATTTGTTGTCTTTATTTCAACCAAGAGAAAAGCAATTACAATTGTTTCTTAGTATCATTTTGTTGTATTTTATGTATAGGTTTTATTTCAAATAGCACATTGCCAGAAGTTGAGACGGTAATTGTTTTAAATCAATTATTTAAAAAACAGGTATTGACAACCCTTGCTCTTTGAATGTTGAAAGGAAATTCTACTCAGCATAAATTTTGAAGGGCATAGCATCAGCCAAACTGAGCACCCCTCAATTTTTTTTCTGGATCCGCCCCTGAACAAATGGTCGCCAGTGCTTTCCTCGCACGCTTTCGAAATTTCTGCACAGAAGCTTCCGTGGCTCCTTCCCCTGCAGGTTCCACTTCTTCGCCAGAAACTATACCCCAAAGATCCTTATCTTCGAGAACCATTTGCATTTTGAACTTCCATAAATGAAAATTCGTTCCATCGAACTTATCAATGTGCTGTGACATAAACTCCATCGGTTTCGCAGCCATAATTCGCACTGAATTTAAAATCGTCGAAAGTCAGCTTCGTGGCAAATTCTATTCGAATTTATCAAAACTCCTGGGCCCATAACCTGTTGAAATCGGGAGTTTTACGCACAGAAACAAGCGATTCAAGATAAATTCATCCATAACATAACGGCGATTACAACTTGAACGAAAACTTAGACGAAGTAAATTCTTACAGCTCACAGCATGAAAGCGTGCAATAAAAGCGGAAATAAACGTCATTGTTCGTAACTAAACAATAGATCTATTTTTTGTATATTCTAACAAGAAGATCTTCCTGAAATCTTGTTCGGTGCGTCTAGGGCCGATTTGACTTTGGGTTTTGTGTGGCACCAGAAAAATGCGTTAATTGCTAACTATTTCCGTTTTCTAACCTGCTCTTGGGCAGGACGACGGAGCCTTAGTGACGGCGGAGGTATTAGTGAATTTGGTTCGGTGGCAATCTGGGTGGCCGCACTGGAAAATCAGCATTTGTTTACTAACAAGCTTAATCCCTTTTCTCTATGAACAATAGAATTTAGGTGTGTCAGAAGTTCTTCCTGAAATCTTCGGTACGTCTAGGGCCATAAACAGGGAATTTTGTTTTTTTGTACAATCTGAGTTTTCCAGTAAATGCGATAAGCTATAAAGAACTATAACGATAATGGCAATGTGTTTCGGATTGTTAGTAAAGCCCGATCATTGCTCCATCAGGCAGTTTTGGAATCTATTTATATAAACATGAAAATACCGCTTTTGTGTAGACAAAAGGAGTTCGTTTTCATCTTAGGACTCCATTCGTAACATTCTCTATAGGCAAGCAGCACTGATTGGGCAACTTCGACAGTCATGTGGCTGCGATTCTGATTGGTCTTTTCCGATCAATAAATGGGTATTTATATTTCCTAGAGTAATTTTTCAATATGTTTTCTTTCGTTTTATGCTCTGAAGAGTGTCGGACGAAATCTTAAGTATGTTCTAAAATGTTTGATTTTTTCAAAGCCATAAGTTTTGTACCACAATAAGATTGTTTGTAAAGTTCCGATTCTGCTTTAAAGGCTAATGTGAACTTATTTCCACGAACTATTTTCAATTTTTACAAGAAAAAGAGATCCATGATGCAATGCAATGTAAAATGCTGATAATCATTATCTACAAATAGTGCAATTGCATTTGAATCCACTCCAGTTTTTGATGTCTCTTTAAAATATAGCAGCTGATAAAGTGCTCATTATTGAACCAAGCATTCTGTTCAATAACTGGCTGCCTCAAGACTTGCTATGCTAATGCCAAACATAATGCTTTTTGCGCAGGGATTGCTAATAAGTCTTTTGTCATATGTAATGTCTTTTTTATAAAGCACTCCTGCATTAAAGCGCTAAAATAAATTTCGCTGCCGGGCGCTTTTCAGAAAATTGCTGAAACAACTGCCTGCTACACAGTGGTAAGGGCATTTCAAAATCACAAGTTATGTGAACAAGAAATTTTGTGGACAATATTCTATAGTACAGACACCCAATGCAAAATCTTCTGTCAGCAACATTAACCGAAGAAGGGCCTTTGCTTCCAAGCACTTAAATGACTTTGTCAGAACCAACAGTGATATTATCAGTGTCAGTATTTGTTTCCGCTAACTCTAGCCACCGTCCTCCCCCCCCCCCCCCCCCCTACAAAAACTTCACTTCAACTTCGACTGCATTGAACACGGGGAGTTTGCCACCCCTACGGGCTTGGTTAACTTATACTCAAATTCTTTAACGTTTAGTTTTTCATATTGAAATTCATTTATAATGGTGTGATTTCATCCCTTTTTCTTTTTTATAAAATATGATAATCATTTTACTTGGCAGATATCAGTAGGCAATATCAAACAAACGCAAAAACAAACTTACGCAATATCAAACTCTAAGCTTTATCAAGTTAAAAATATCAAGACTATGCAATATGCAATATCAATCCTAAGCTACACGAAACCTATGCAATATCAATCGTAAGCAATAACAATCCTGATCTATATAGGCCTAAGCAATATCAGGCCTAAGCTACATGAAGCCTATGCAATATCAGTTCTAAGCAATACCATACCAATAATGATCTATATAGGCCTAAGCAATATCAGGCCTAAGCTACATGAAGCCTATGCAATATCAGTTCTAAGCAACACCATACCAGTCATGATCTATATAGGCCTAAGCAATATCAGGCCTAAGCTACATGAAGCCTATGCAATATCAGTTCTAAGCAACACCATACCAATAATGATCTATATAGGCCTAAGCAATATCAAGCCTAAGCTACATGAAGCCTATGCAATATCAGTTCTAAGCAATACCATACCAATAATGATCTATATAGGCCTAAACAATATCAGGCCTAAGCTACATGAAGCCTATGCAATATCAGTTCTAAGCAACACCATACCAGTCATGATCTATATAGGCCTAAGCAATATCAAGCCTAAGCTACATGAAGCCTATGCAATATCAGTTCTAAGCAACACCATACCAGTCATGATCTATATAGGCCTAAGCAATATCAGGCCTAAGCTACATGAAGCCTATGCAATATCAGTTCTAAGCAATACCATACCAATCATGATCTATATAGGCCTAAGCAATATCAGGCCTAAGCTACATGAAGCCTATGCAATATCAGTTCTAAGCAACACCATACCAGTCATGATCTATATAGGCCTAAGCAATATCAGGCCTAAGCTACATGAAGCCTATGCAATATCAGTTCTAAGCAACACCATACCAATAATGATCTATATAGGCCTAAGCAATATCAAGCCTAAGCTACATGAAGCCTATGCAATATCAGTTCTAAGCAACACCATACCAGTCATGATCTATATAGGCCTAAGCAATATCAAGCCTAAGCTACATGAAGCCTATGCAATATCAGTTCTAAGCAACACCATACCAATAATGATCTATATAGGCCTAAGCAATATCAGGCCTAAGCTACATGAAGCCTATGCAATATCAGTTCTAAGCAACACCATACCAGTCATGATCTATATAGGCCTAAGCAATATCAAGCCTAAGCTACATGGAGCCTATGCAATATCAGTTCTAAGCAATACCATACCAATCATGATCTATATAGGCCTAAGCAATATCAATCTGAAGCAATATGAAACACATCAATATAAAAACTGAGCAAAATCAAACCTAGTCTATGCACTTTCAGGACTAACCAAAATCAAACATTGAAAATTGCGTGGAGAAGCGGAAACATGTCACAATAACAGGGGCGGATCCAGCAAAAAGTCTGACTGAGTTCCAGGCAAAGGCTAGGGTCTTTTAGGTAATGCATTGATAATTGTTCCTAAGACAACATCATTATTCACATTGATGCATTTTGGTACTATCCACTCACTAAATCTAGATTATAGGTTTTTTTTCCGACAGAAACCAGTGCCTCACTGAAAATTTCTGCAACCCCCTCCCTTTCTAAATACCCCTTTGTTTGTCTTAAATGCCACAGCAACGTTTTCCCTTTTGTTTTACTCGCACTTTGTTGTTTTGCCCACGTAGACACCGGCCTAGGTCTCTCTTGCCATCAACGACTGCAATTTATAATAAAGGTAGTTAATGCTGCTGGAAAATTACCGATACTTCTTGGTTTTATCTTAAACGCTTAATAATCTGCTAGAATGTTGCAAGGGTCATGAAAATAAGACATCTGCAGTCGCCATTTCGAATTCAAAGTTTTGCAGTTCTACAACAGATTAGAAACAATAGGTAGCCAATCAACTACTGGCTATTGTACAGCTCTCCTACGAATATGGTATCATTTCCGAGTTCCAGATGTTGTTTTGACTGAGTTCCATCCGTGTTCCAAACAAAAATTTCATTGTTTCAATTCATTCACTTTCGAGGCACTAAATGTTTATTTCCGAATTCTAGGATTGACTGCTGTTGTCCTCCACAACGTCTGGAAAATAGTTTCAAAATCACGACAGAGAAGAAGGAAGGAAAAGGACGAGCGAATCACATTAAACTGGTAATTTTAAGATTTTGAAGATTATACTTACAATAAGATTATACTTACATTTTGAAGATAAAACTTACAATTTCTAGGTTTCACTTTTTTAGCCTAAATGTTACATATTTCAGGCAAAACTATTTTTAGCTATATGTTGGAAAACTGACTGAGTTCTGTGCACCAAGGAACTTACACTGGATCCGCCTCTGCAATAAAATACTTTTTGTCCAACACTCGTCATAGTATAAATTGACCTTCTGAAAAATTGTGCTGATCAGTTTTCTGTTGTATATTTAAGCTGTTATAATTTTTGTACCATTTGTAGTAATTTTTAGATGTAGCAATTTTAATTAACCTTTTAAAATTACGACGTTTTTTGTTGTAGTAGATTAAGGGCCATTTAAGCTTATGCATTTATTATTTTATTAATAAGTAAACTCCAGATAAGGTCCAAAGATAAGCATAAAGTTGATTTACTAAAAGTTACAAACGATGGCTAAATTACAAACGTGTTTTTGAGCGCTTCTGCCTACAATGAACTCAAGTTGGTAAAACCCCTTTTAAGTCGATTTACAAAGAACTCCTTCTGTCTACACAAGTCGAGATCCAAAAAATTTAGTATGACATGTTTCCGCTTTTCCGTGCTATTTTTAAAATTTGCTATACCAGACGCTTATTAGACCTAATTAGCTGAAAGACCATTATGAAATACCTTTAAGAACCGTCAAAGCTCTATTAGGCCCCAAGGGACTTTTTTCAATCCTAGAAGGGGGGCTTAAATGTTAGATGGAAAATTGTGAGCACATTTAGTGTCCGTGTCCGTGAAGAGAATTACAAGAAATTGAAACATTTGGCGAGCGGCTAATTGTTTTCTGTCAGTTGCCATCTACGCACAGGGATGGCGTCACTGGAGGTGCTTGGGGGAAAGGGGGTGCTTAGGGCAGGAGCCCCCCCCCAAAAAAAATTCATTGAGCCCTCCCGTCGGCACTTCAATTTTGAAAAATTTTAAGCAATGTCGGCACTTTCATAACTTAACTTCGTGATTGTTTTTGATTTTTTTTCGTTGTTTGATTTTTTTCCATTTTTTTTCATTTTTGGAACTAGATATACCACAGCGGAAATGGTGTTCCATTACATCTTTTTGGGTGGTTTACTTACTGTCAGCACTCTGACATTACAGCCCCCCCCCCCGCCCCCTCAGCATTTCTTTTCTGGTGCCATCTCTGTCTACGAAGTCTTTCCAGGCTAAACTTTACATTTCAGCTAAATCTGTAATACACATCCTCGTTTCTCCGAGGAACAAGATTGGCAGAATTGCATAAGAGAGGACGGCTTAGTAGAGAGGGGGCTTATTTGGAATTTGAAGTAAAAACTGCTTTGAAAATGTCCATGTTCTCAGAAGTTCTCAGAAACGCAATACAAATGTTCTCAGAAACCTTTGCTTGCAGCTTCAAAAGATGAATTGCAAAATATTCGAAATTTGCAAAATTTTCAACAAAAAAGGTTCGTGCATGCTTGAAAACTTTAGAGAATATAAACGTGCAAAACCAGATGGAAGTAAAGTAACATATTAACTTAAGCATTTGGGGCAATTTTATGTCTTAACCCTTTTTATATCCACTGTAACATCATTACCGCGTTCACATCCTATCGATATGAAAACTTCTTAACTTTATCAAAAAATGAAGTCAAAAATGGCGGACTTTCTGTATTTGTTCCTTGCGCATATAATCGAGTCATCAACATTTTCACACATGATAGTTTTTAACTCGCTGCTTTTAGAATAAAAGTTACCAAGCATTTTATGTTCAGTTTTTCATACTCTTTCGATTGATGTAATTTGTTCACAAATTTGACGATTTTCCTACATCTGGGGAGAACTTTTTTGACACACTTCAAGATTTTAAGATATTGATCCAAGGAAGTGCAAACAAGTAAAAAACCTCTGGTTAATCTCTCCTCCAGTTTGTTGGGGAAAAATTCCTTGTCTTAGAGGTTTTGGCAAGGCCACCATCGTGGTTGGAGGCAAGAAAATGTTTTAGATGTATTGTATATAAGAGATATGGCGAAAACTGTATCTAAAATGGATTTCGACTGAAGGCAAATCTGAGAGAATATTTTCAAGCTCTTTTTTATCACTGTGTCGCATAGATTCGTCTATTTAAATAATGACATATGATAAAGAAGGTATTGCAAACTTTTTAAAATAGCCTTTTCAATGTAACTCGTAATCAACATTTTCTTATTTAAAAAGGAACCAAAATGGGATGGAGGAGAAAAATATATGAATCACGGTTTAACAAAAAACAATAAAATTGAAATACCCACAGAACCACTGTTAACAAAATATGAAAGATTATGTAGCCAAAAAGACTCTGGATTTGAAAACTTTCAAACTGGGCTAGACCAAACAGCATTGATAATTACGTCTAGATTTCAAACTGGGCTAGCCTAGTTATAATAGCATTGATAATTACGTCTAGATTTTCTCTTTCCTGGAAAGAATGGATTATTGATAGAATATAACTTTGAAGCTTTCTCGATGATCTGCCGATTCTTCATTTCTCATATTCTCAAAAATTGTCTATCGCAGGAATTATAGCCATCACAGTGTCTTAATATCGACCTCCAGGATTTTAAGACAAATTTTATCAATTAACGATAGCAAATGTGCACAGATTGGCCTAAGAAGAAATGTGTTTACAGTATCTGGCTGCCTTTCACAGTTGGTAAGTTATATTCACTTTTGCATCCTCTGTAAGATTTACCTGTCAGTAATGGTTACTGGTGCCCTGACCTATTTACTCTTAAAATTGTTTAACAAATTTTAATATGATATGCATCAGGTAGCTTATTCAATTTTAAGGTTTTGTCTCTCTAATTTGAGCAACGAAACAAAAATGAGATAAAAGTAATGAAATAAGAAATTTTCTCAAGCAGCTTTCATTAATCAAATGATCAGGAAAAGTTCAAACGTGTTATTATTAGGAAAGTCTAGATTGAAATATCTCTCAAAAAAGTATATCATACAAATAAACAAACAAAATGATAATGACAAGATTTTAAACGTCTGTTACAAAGTTTGCAGTCTTAATACCATTATATGAGCTTCTTTTACTTTTCTGGTGGTCCATTTTTTGTTCTAAATAATGTACTTGAGCATGTGGCAAATTGCAAAGTGTGTCCAAAGAAACAACAATGATACCACTAAAAATTTTGTGTTAAAGGCAAATTATCTGAAGATTAATGATAGTACAGTAACATAGCTGTGGAACTATGCATTTTATGATACAATGATGAAATTTTGTGCAAGTACACTATTGCATATTGTTTTAATCGTAAACCCATAAAAAAGTGTCCATTGATAACATGAGATACTACAGGCTCTAAAAGTCTTTAATTGTGCAATCTTTATTTAAAGACATTCTTTATCTTCCACAGAGTTTCACTGGAACAACTGTTAAAAACAAGACAGCTCAGTGAGTCATATTTAAATAAAATATGCAGAAATTCCGTTGCAATTTCCTACTTTCTTTGGCAATTCAATTGACCAAAAACATTTGCACTGCTGTGGCCTTCAACTTTTTGCAAAATTTTTAACTGTTCCGAGCCTTGTAAAAAAATTTGTTCTCAAGACAACGGCTGAATTGTGCGATAATGACATTCTGTTGTCCTTCTCGGATCTTTTCGAAAACCATAATTGCTTTCAAGAATTGTACACCATTTTCTTCTTGCAGGAAGTTACCATTCTTTAAAGCTTCATATTTTCCAATATGAATGCCCGTAGATAAACATGTTCTTTGACTTCGAGTATTTGCCTGATGACTGACCTCTTTCATATATTTTACTACCTGAAATTGTTATGTTCTTTATTCATCCTTCAATCTTTTATCACGAAACACGATTGGCTTTATGGGATAGACGTCCAAAAGTTAATTTTTTTGCGTAAGCAGAATTTGTCTTTGCCAACGTCTGCTACTCATCCACTCCTTTTAACAGATAACAGACAAAGGCAACAAAATCTGGTGTGTTCCTTGCTTGCTAACAGTGGTATAGAAGTCGAGATAAAATTTTGCTTCAGACCATATTAGACTTTTTAGGCCTTTTCTCTCTCTATCTGGCAATAGGCAGCATTGAAAGTTTGAGAAACATAGTTTAAAGCTTTTTATGTTCTCTCCGTCAAATTTAATGGACTTAATGGATGTGGATCTTTGTATAGATCAATAAATGAAAAGACCGAACGGAACAATGCAACGAAATGCGATGCCGTTCCTGTTTCTTTCGATCTTCTGCTATACAATGACCAAAAAACTTGTCTTTGGCTCAGGTAAGCATTACTAGCAGGTTTTGATAGATTTTAATATGATTATTGTTAACGTTGTGTGTATGTGTTTGCATGTGCTTGGCATTTTTTGACTGACTTTCAAACAGAAAGTTGGCAGTTTACGTAAGGGACGGCTGACATTAATCCCGGCTTTATATGCAGCGAGCTAGCCCGGACAGCTGAGCTGAGTGCATTTGTTTGAAAAATTGCTAATTGATAGCTAATAGCAAAAAACTTGCATAAAGAAAGCTAAAGGGATATAAGAAACCAATATTTGTGAGACTGGTCTCACATACAATGTCCTCCGATGCAGCTCAGTTCTTATGCAAATTAAATAGAATTTGAAATTGTTTTTAGGGTACCAGAATTTATATGCTTCATTCAACTTATTTACTAACAATCTCTTTGAGAATCCTATCTCTAGGCAATTCTTATTTTCTTAGACGAGATATTTATGAAAACATCTAATAAAACTCGAATTTGAAGATTCGTGGATCTATAGACTTTTTTTTTTCGGCTTCATCAGTTTCGTTGCAATTGTGTTCACATATTGTTTACTTTTACACCTTTTCAAATTATAAGATAAAGGTTAATTCTCCTTGTCAATATTAAGATTTTTCTAGGTTTTTTTCTCCACTGCCTGATAGAAATCGGTCAGCTTTTAGCCGTTGTATTTCATAATTCCATTCGTCTGATCAGATTCATGATTTCCTGCTACATGTGTGAATTCTTAAATCTTTCTCTATCAATTTTAGTTCATCGTAAAATCTGCAGACAAAAAATACTTGTTAGATTTAAAAATAAACAGCTCCAAATGGAATATATGCATTTCTAGCAGATTTAGTATATTCAAAGAAACGCTGTTATCTACTTTAAAAACTCTGAGAATTGATTCCATATTGTGATAGCCTTGCCATTTTCCATGTCGTGACCTAGCCATTCTAAGCATATCAATCACATTTTAGACGGCAATGATTATGTTATTTAAGCGAGTTATAATTTCATAATACTTACTTTTAGAAAGTGACATAAAAGATGGTAGCAGAATGACCTATATAAATATACAAGGCTTTTTCTTTTCTTTCTTCAGAACCTTCAGCTTCACTTTACACTTCCGAAGGTGTGTTTCATTTTATATTCTCTTTGCACTTTCACATGTCATAAGGACAGGCAGCCAAAAATAAAGATAAAGCTATTATGCATTTTTCAAGATTTGTACTTTATAATTTACAAAAAAATATGCCACTCTCTTTTTACACCTTTCATGTCAAGAGATCATTTCTTGACAAAAATTTCGAGCAACGTTTTAGCTTTAATTTTTTTTAACCTTTATATGTTTGTTTAGAAGTTAATGATCTTTAGCATTTTCAAATGTCATAAGAAGTAATAAAAGTCAATCCTCCTCGTGACAATTTTACATGGTGTATTTCGTGTGATTCTAAAAAAAAATTTGTCCCCCTTTTTAATTATTATCATCAAACATTTCAACTGTTCATCTAGATTTACAAGAGCTGTAAAATACTTTTACTCTCTTTAGTGCCTACAATTTCATTGTCCACATTTCAAGGTATGCTGTTGAATCGATTGATTTTGCAATATTCAAATCTTATAAAAAGTAACGAAATTAATTTCAATTCAAGCTATAACCGTTATTACCAGGCTTTTATATTTTCTTACTCGTGATAGAATATTACTCTTCCTTCAAAAATCTCAACTGCTGACTTAGATTTTTTATAACACACACTGTATGTATGGAGATACAAAGTCTAGAGATGTATATAAAAGACAATCTTTTCAATATTTATGGCAATGTCAGCCTCGACGTCACACTCGCCTAATATGTTTTTAAACTAACTTCATTGCTAACTTTCGAAAAGTCCAAAAAAATGTCACTAAGTAATTGTGATTGTTACAAATGTACACGCCTTCGTTTGCCTTAATAATGCGAAATAATAAATTAACTTCTTTTTTTGAAATATTAATAAAATCAGCCGTCCATTAAAACAATATTTTTAATTCCTTCAGTGCCTTCAACTTCATTATCAACCTCGCAAGGTTTTTTTTTAATTTGCTTGATTTTGGAATTTCTTAACTTTAAAAAATCTAAAAACCCAATTCCATCTGCAACTTGTCAGCCATCTTTAGACTTTTGTATCTTGATACTCGAAGCAATTCCTCAAGGCAATTATTACAAATGTAAACGCCTTTGTTTGCCTTACTAATGAGAAATAAAGAATGTACCTTCTTTTTTTGAAATATTAATCAAATCAGCCGTCCATTAAAACAATATTTTTAATTCCTTCAGTGCCTTCAATTTCATTATCAACCTCGCAAGGTTTATTTTTAATTTGCTTGATTTTGGAATTTCTTAACTTTAAAAAATCTAAAAAACCAATTCCATCTGCAACTTGTCAGCCATCTTTAGACTTTTGTATCTTGATACTCGAAGCAATTCCTCTAGGCAATTATTACAAATGTAACGCCTTTGTTTGCCTTACTAATGAGAAATAAAGAATGTACCTTCTTTTTTTGAAATATTAATAAAATCAGCCGTCCATTAAAACAATATTTTTAATTCCTTCAGTGCCTTCAACTTCATTATCAACCTCGCAAGGTTTGTTTTTAATTTGCTTGATTTTGGAATTTCTTAACTTTAAAAAATCTAAAAAACCAATTCCATCTGCAACTTGTCAGCCATCTTTAGACTTTTGTATCTTGATACTCGAAGCAATTCCTCTAGGCAATTATTACAAATGTAAACGCCTTTGTTTGCCTTACTAATGAGAAATAAAGAATGTACCTTCTTTTTTTGAAATATTAATAAAATCAGCCGTCTATTAAATCAATATTTTTAATTCCTTCAGTACCTTCAACTTCATTATCAACCTCGCAAGGTTTGTTTTTAATTTGCTTGATATTGGAAATTCTTAACTTTAAAAAATCTAAAAAACCAATTCCATCTGCAACTTGTCAGCCATCTTTAGACTTTTGTATCTTGATACTCGAAGCAATTCCTCATGGCAATTATTACAAATGTAAACGCCTTTGTTTGCCTTACTTATGAGAAATAAAGAATGTACCTTCTTTTTTTGAAATATTAATAAAATCAGCCGTCCATTAAAACAATATTCTTAATTCCTTCAGTACCTTCAACTTCATTATCAACCTCGCAAGGTTTGTTTTTAATTTGTTTACTTTTGGAATATCTTAACTTTAAAAAATCTAAAAAACCAATTCCATCTGCAACTTGTCAGCCATCTTTAGACTTTTGTATCTTGATACTCGAAGCAATTCCTCTAGGCAATTATTACAAATGTACACGCCTTTGTTTGCCTTACTAATGAGAAATAAAGAATATACCTTCTTTTTTTGAAATATTAATAAAATCAGCCGTCTATTAAATCAAAATTTTTAATTCCTTCAGTGCCTTCAACTTCATTATCAACCTCGCAAGGTTTGTTTTTAATTTGCTTGATATTGGAATTTCTTAACTTTAAAAAATCTAAAAAACCAATTCCATCTGCAACTTGTCAGCCTTCTTTAGACTTTTGTATGTTGATACTCGAAGCAATTCCTCAAGGCAATTGTTACAAATGTAAAGGCCTTTGTTTGCCTTACTAATGAGAAATAAAGAATGTAACTTCTTTTTTTGAAACATTAATAAAATCAGCCGTCCATTAAAACAATATTTTTAATTCCTTCAGTGCCTTCAACTTCATTATCAACCTCGCAGGGTTTGTTTTTAATTTGCTTGATTTTGGAATTTCTTAACTTTAAAAAATCTAAAAAACTAATTCCATCTGCAACTTGTCAGCCATCTTTAGACTTT